GAGTCAGCTCCATTCCATTATTCCCCATCTCTCTCTCTCTCTCTCTCTCTCTCTCTCTCTCTCTCTCTCTCTCTCTCTCTCTCTCTCTCTCTCTCCCTCTCTCCCTCTCTCCCTCTCTCCCTCTCTCCCTCCCCTCTTTTCCAGCCTGTAAAAATGCTGCTGTATTGTGAAACCCATCTCTACAGTTTCTGCTCAGGACGACAGAAAAACAACTGAAGATTAAACATATTAGTCTGATGGCATTATTTTCAACATCAGTCACTTACCGTAAAACAGATGAAAAGAGATCAAATAGAGCCGAGATACTATCTTTATGAACTGTTTCTATTTGCAGAACACATTCATCACCGCCCCTCTGTCAAAAACAGGCAGTGTTATCTCTGAGGCTGATGACTCATCTACTGTCGCTAAACATATTTCTCCTGCTAAATAAAGCATCAGATATCAGAGCGTGTACAGTAGCAGATCTGCACTCCTCTACAGTCTGACAGAGCCGGGCCTCTGTGGTGCCTCAGCAGACAAACCATGCGGATACATTTGCTTAAATGCAAAAAAAAAAAAAAAGTCAAGTCATGCTCCATCAGGAAGACGGCAGCGTGAAGGACGTTTCTTCAGGAATGTGTCGGTGAATATCTTTGTGGTTGTTGCCTCCCGTCAGTTAAATTTAAGATTCTTTTAACAACTTTTAAAGCCCAACATCTTCTGGCCCCCAGTTACTATCACTCCCTATGATTGTTCTGTGTTGTTTTATTCCCATGTATTTTGTAAAGCACCTTGTTTAGATCACTGTCACAGGAAGACATTTTTATTATTTACTTATCATTTTGAAAGTATTATTGCCCCAATCACAATAGAGTCAGTGCCGTACCAGGTGATGGATCAAGATGGAAAAGTATGTCGCTCATGAATATTCATCATGACTTCTCTTCTTCCTCCTGTAGTCTTTAAACTGAAGGGATCAGATACAAATAGCTTGATGGGGGGAAAAAAAGGAGCAAAATGTTCTTAGATGTAACCCACAGGAGAGGCAGTGAAGCAGCCGCCTCCTAGAAACTACTTTCATATGCAGCTACTCTGCATTTCAAGTTTGAAATTCAGTCATTTACATTTAAGAAAAAAACAAGGGTGTGCAAGTCAAGATAGAGAATGTCAGGGTTTCTGTGGGGTCTTTTAATAAAGTCTAAATTCAATAATCTGAAGTCCTTGAAAAGTCTATTTGTTAAAGGCTATGTACTAGGTCTTATCCTTGCCTTTTTCTCAAGGATACAGATATTATGCTGTAAACAAGTCCTGACTTCAGTGATCTCATAATTCTAATCATCTTTTAGTGTAAGCGTGTGTTTGTACACATGCACAGATTTTGTAAGAATAAGTCTTTTGAAGATATGTACCACAATAACTCCACATTCTTCTCAAACTGCATTTCTGCATCTTCAAAACAAATTTTATAGATAGAATAATTAATAAATGCATTTCAGTTGAGCCGAAGGACTGAAAGAACATCCAGACATTCTCAGGTGCACATCACACTTCCTGTATAGACTTGCCCAGTACAGGTATTGTCTTACGGTAAAAAATCACATCTGCCCTTTTTTTGTTCCCACCTCAAGTAACACGTCTCCTTCCCCCTGTCCTCCCCTCTCTGTCCTTTGTCAGTCAGGAGCTTTCAAGAGAAACTTCAGCTCTCCTCTGCTGACCATCGATCCGCTGGGTGTGGTCAGAGAGGCTCCCGCTGCTCAGGGTGAGTGATGGAGACGCCGGCTGATTTATAGCAGCAGCAAACAGCAGAAATCTCAGGACGACTAATCACTGTGTCCGTGGCCTTCAGGTCTTGACAGGCCCGTGTGTGTGTGTGTCGCTACATTGTCAGCGATAAAATTGCACATATGTTGCTCTGTTCCACTTTGTCTGGCTGTGTGTAGAGGCGGATAATAGCAGTCTTGACCCCGTGTACGAGGCGTTGCGCTATGGGACGTCGCTGGCTCAGATGAGTCGCTCCAGCTTCGGCAGTATCTCAGAGTCGCCTTGTCATGAGGTATGAAAAAAACACACGCACATAAACTACCCAGACAACCCCAGGCGTTCATATAAATTCATGCTGACATCAATCTTTCAAAGAGCATTGTTGACTTTGCTGCCTGCAAACTTTTCTTTATTTACAGGCAGAAAAACCACAAGACAAATTCGAAAACCTGCCGATTGCTGAAGAGGAACAAATACCAGGAAGTAAGTTAAATCCTTTTCCTTTAACTTCTTTACAGCTGATAATGTGTGTTTGAAGATGTTGATCCTCTCTTAATGCTGCATATCTTTCACCTGTGATTCTCAGTTGTACTGTATTTTTTTTTACCCACCACAGTGACTTCTGAAGTTGTTTTTGTGAGAGATATTTTGCTATCACATCTGAAAACCATAAACCAGAAGTGACATAGCATAAGGGAGACTTTTTACATGTTTTTCATTTACGTATGGATCTCAATGCTAGTTTTGAAAGTGAAGAGGTTAAACAATTTTTTTAATTATATGCATATGATAGACCACAGCCGTCTAATAATGAGCCTGCATCTAAGACATCAGGGGCAGGAGAAGTAACATCCACAGGAGAGGAAGTGAAAATAAATTCTTGGATCTGCACTAAAATGAAATGGGTTCCTCCCTGACCCATAGCGCATCCTTCCACCAAGGTTTGTGGTAATCTGTTCGCTGTAGACTGTGTGACTTTTATTGTTCGATCCACAAAGATGCAAACTGTTGCTGCTCTGGAGATATTTGAATCTCTACCTCTCAGTTCATTCCTTCCTTGTATGAGGCAGGCGGTTTCCCACCAGTCTCTGTACCAAGTTAAACAATCCACGTACTGGCTGCAGCTTCATATTTACAATACAGAGACGTCACAGCGGTGTTGATCTACTCGTATAACAAAAGCAAATATGCATAAGTCCCAAAATGTCGTGGTAGTCCCTGAAAACATTTGACAGAGAAAAACAAATTTACACCAATAGTGCAATGATCCCAGAAATGGATGATGCATCATCAATATCTATTTAATATCCTTTAAATACCTTTATAACATTTTAGTAATCGGGAAAAACAGTGTGAACATTTTTTGGTAACAGGAAGATGGATGTTAAGTACAAACAGTGAGATTCTTCCCATGTGGCAGCGTTATGAGTGTTTGCCCTGTTTTTTCTGCATTAACGAGTTTATTATCTCTGTACTTGTTTATGCGAATTCAAGAGATAATCATTTCAGAAACTCATAGACACAGAGTCCTGTCCAAGAGTTAAAGAGCTAAATTAGCATAAGACGCAGTACAGCACGGGGGTGGTGTGTGTGTGTTTAAGTGTGTGTGTTTAAGTGTGTGTGTTTAAGTGTGTGTGTGTAAGTGTGTGTGTGTGTGCTTTTCCCTCTCCGTCTTCAGTCCCAGGAGATGGGATCATCTCAGTTTGTTCTGCTGCCACCTCACGGTTAATGACCTTGACTTCGGCCTTCCTTCTGTTTGCCGCAAAGTGACACGACCTCCCTCTTCCTCTCTGCATCCTTTCTTTCTCTTCCTCCATTTGCACCCCCCTCCTCTTCCCCCCCCTTTCTCTTGTTTTACATGTGACCTTTCTTTCTCTCACGCATTTTGTCTTCACTTCTCTCCCTTTCTTTCCCCCTTCTCCCTTTCTCTTTGTGTCTACATGTCCGTCTCTCCAGTGCTCACCCCTCCTGAAAGCGAGAAGGCTGATTCAGAAGACAGGGTCAGCCTGAAGGTGTGTAGTCAGCATTCCTCTCATCTTTCAGTCTGTTTTTCTCGGTGAAGCTGCACTCTGCGTCCACCGCCTTCAAACTCTTCAGTTGCAGATTTCCAAAACATTCGGACAACCATATTTAAATCCCTCCCTCTCTGTGTGTTTGTCTTTTTGTCAGACTCCCAAACGAGTCGAGGTCCACTCCATCCACACTTACGTGGCTCTCTACAAGTTCCTGCCTCAGGAGAAGAACGACTTGGAACTACAGTCAGTCCAGTTTCTCAGTTTACCGTATGTGAGCATGTGAGAGTAATCGTTTGAGAGAGGTGGAGGTGTTCACCTGGCCTTAGATTTACCTGACACTCACACACCATCTGCCTCCTCAGCAGGATGATCGTAGGGGGTTTGCAGGGCTCGGGGCGGGTGGAGGTAGAGTACCGGGAGGCCGGGAAGAAAAAAGAAAACAGCTGCAAGAGTTTGAAAGAAGAAAAAAGGGTGTTGGTGCTTTTGTAGGAAATTGCTAAGTGTGGCATGACACTCACCACTAATCTGGAGGATCCGTCTGTGAAGGAGATGAAGAAATGTCTTCTCATGGACATAGTGAGGAGAGCTGCCCGACTAAAAGCTCAGTCCTCTAACTCACTGCACTAACACTCAAATCTAAAATCTATAAAATCTAGTGGAGTGCATACCTGTCTCCTCAAATTCAATCAAGCTGCAGTAAATTGCACACTCTCTAGATTTCAGCTCCTTAAACATGCCTGATTGTTTTCATCATGGTCCACGAATTATTCCCCGGGAAACTGGTGAAAATGTAAAAACAAAAACCCTTTTATCCCGATACCCACCTAAATGTAATGGGTTGCCTCTTTGTCTATGTTCGGTCCTTCCACCAAGCTTCACAGAAATCTGTTTTGTAGTTTCAATCAAACAAACCAACCAACGGAAAGAGTCAGAAACATAACCTGCTATTTTTAAAAAAGTAAAATATTTGAAGTGCGCTTGCAGTAAATTAGTTTTTTCTGCTCATAGTAAATCTTTTGACTGTTTTGTCCTGCAGGCCTGGTGACAGAGTTCAAGTCACAGATGACTCCAACGAGGACTGGTGGAAGGTGAGCTGTGAAGTCTTCTTTCTTTCTGACTGCTGTGTTGGCAGTGTGTGAATGGGTGAATGTAATGAAACACTTTGAGCTGATATGTATTGAGTCCATTCACTCAGACTAAAGAGCTGGTGGATGGTGCTCGGAGGACGGCAGGTGTAGGTGTTAGCAGAACTAGTTTGAAGATCACAACATTGACCTGTTAACAGGCGGAAAGGTCTTTACTTAAAAGTAAAGCACCAGGGAACGATAGACGGATATATGCTTTGCAGGAATGGATATTAGCTAAATGTTTACCAGTGTCTTTGAAGAGAATACATGGGGATTATGTCTCTGCAAATACAGAAGCCTTTTGGTCGAGCTGGTGTTGTTGATCAGCCAAAAAAAAACTTGTCTAATTGAATTCAGTTTTTTACTGTGATATAAATTGAAGGCTATAGTTAAGTGGCCTTGGATGTGAGATTGAATGGTTTTGTCTCTGTATGATGGTCTTGTGATTCGTTGGCGACCTGTCCAGGGTGCACCCCGCCTCTCGCCCGGTGTCGGCTGGGATCGGCTCCAGCTCCCCACATGATCCTCAAGAGGATAAGTGGTAAAGATAATGGATGGATGGTCACTGGGATATAAGTGTGATGAATATGTAGGCGAGTTGTCAAGCAAACGAAAATGCAAAGTATGTCATTGTGTATGCTCAGCAGAGGACGGTCAAGGACTGAGGTCTGTGGTGGGTTTGCTTTCTGTGCTGAAACAAAAGTCGACGGATAATTGAAACCTAACGTAATCGTCTTTTTGTCAAGAAGGCAGCAGATGTTGGTTTCTTCTATAAACCATGATTTTGTTCTGTGCTTTAAACAAAGCAATATCATTTTTTAAATATTTCATCAAGTCAGATCAGAACAGAATCTATTTATAATGTTTTCATCAAAGACTAACTGTGTGTGTGTCTGTGTGTGTGTGTGTGCGTGCGCGCGCGTGTGTGTGTGCGTGTTACCCAGGGGAAAAGCAGAGACAAGGTGGGATATTTCCCAGCCAACTTTGTGCAGCGGGTCCGCCCTGGCGAGCGGGTGTGGAAGGTCACTGATGGTTTCCATGGCAACCGAGACAAGGGCCAGATGACTGTAAAAGAGGCCCAGGTGAACACACATTTAAATACACACGATTTTACACACATACACACACCCTGAACACAACGTATGCAAATTCATGCAGAAAACTGCTGCGATTACAGAGGACGGCGTGTTAGCTTACTTTTAGCCTCGGTCCACAAACTCTCTCACATCCCTGAATGTCACCCGCCCATCCTCCCGCTCCGCACTCCTCTCTCTCCCCTCCCTCTCTCACCCATTGCCGACCCCCACCCCTCTTTCCTCTGCAGATCTGCATCGGGAAGAACGAGGACATTGACGGTTTCCTCCGGCTGACGAGTGGGAAGAAGCGAGGCCTGGTCCCCGTGAAGTATCTGCTAGAGATATGATGGCGGCGCACTTCTCCTCGAGAAGTTTAGTAGAGAAGTTCACTGTAATGGAGGAACGCTCAGGAGTGTTTACCCAACACCTCGCTGACCGCCAACCACACAACCCCCCACCCCTCCAATAAAGTGGCAGTGAAGCAGCAGCTTGAGTGGACGACGACCCACAACAAGGCTTTTTACTGCAGGAGGATTTTAAAGGTTCGAAGGAGGGACTCCTTCTTTTAGAGTTCTTTAGAGCTACTTTTTTCCTGTAGCACAACTTGACTTTGTGGGGTTTATACAGACTCACAAAAGAAATGTAGCATCACATAGAAGAGGAGAAGAGTGCAGGAAGTCTGGCTACCTCACTAGATATCTCCATTGGCCATGCGTCTGCAGAAAAAAGGGAAGAGGACGACTTTATTATGATGTCAAGGCGCGTGCAGGCCTAAGGGACTTTGTGAGCAAACTGTCTTCATTTCATTTTTCCTGTAGAGAAAAGAGATTGTGAAAGATTGTAGCTGTTTATCGTAGTCGCCCTTTGCAAACTTGTCATGGTTGTTTTTTTCTCAAACCCCTCAACAGATTTCTGTTAGTAGATCCAGCTAAAGAAATAAACCACGAGACTGCAGCTCACAACGCGCACGTGACGGTTGTTGTGATGTGGATTCATGATGTGTCACTCCCACTATCACTAGAAAAACGCTTCAGGTATTACATCACGTCAAATTTTAGTCTTCTCTGCTCGGTTTTGGTCAAATGAAAGTCATGACACACTCACTGTATTTCAGTCTGCTCTCCAGTGATTAGATTACTGTGCAGTTTTGCTCTTCACAGCACAGATGTGATAAATGCTTTCCGTGCACCTCTGGGGAGCTTCTCTCTCACTATGCCCTTCAGTCACACTTGCAGATTTTTATAGTTCACTCTGTTCCATGTAACTCTAAAACAAATCTGGTCGATATATTCTCTTCGTCTGTATTGTCGTGTAAACTCGCTGTCATATCTGGTTGTGCGCTACAACATGACGATGGTGCGCTGTGTTGACTTTCTGATGCTCTGAAGCGTAAAAAAAATTAATTGTGTAATTCAGGTTGATGAATTAAAACCAATCCCAGTGTCATCTCAGAAGGTAACGCACCTGTCAAGAGAACGTGTTGAATTTTTGATAAATGGCGACTCCTCCTCCCAGCACACCAGGTTATTTTTAAATAACACTGCAGAAGGACTGTTATTTTTCGCTGCAATTAAAGGTGATAAAAAGCAAAATCACCTCACACCATTCGATTTATTGCTCTGTTCCTAGAAACCATAAGGCAGCGTCTAACTGCCTTCGCTGTGGCAATAACTGTAAATAAAAATATGACAGAATTTGTAAATATCCTCATAAATATATTGTATACTGACTCGGAATAGCTCTCTGCTAACCAAGAGCTTTGCAACTATCCAGCAGCCAGGTAAGGGCATTAACCTCACAGTTATAAAATACATAAAATGATCGTTCATTGTCCCACTTATAAAATGTATGAATCTTTATGCTCAATTAACATCTAGCCCTGTTAGCACAAATCTTTTTAAATACTATGCACAACTAGTCACTCACTTTATTTTGTACTCAGCTTATTTTCAGTATTGGCACATGCATATTTGCGTTTGTGCAAACCTGTGCTCTTTGCATTGTGGATAAAGATTCCAGTGTCTGGGGTGTTGCAGCTTTTACAAAATGTCCATCTCAGTTCATTACCTTCACTGGATAGAACCAAGATTGGCTCAGGATCAGTATTACCCAGGTAAAATCCCTTTTTCTCACTTTAATGCACACCACCAGGCTAGTTCTCTGCATGGCAAGCTGCCCTGTGACCCTCACATCTCAATAAAGGCAGATGAACTCTCAAGCTGTGTGCTCTTTTGTTTGGGCAATATTTCATACTTTGCTTCTCGGTTGTGTGACTTGATTTTGCTGTTAAAAAGAGAAGGAAAGGAAGGCTGACAAGGATTAAATGGGGATTTGGTTTGCAAAGAGCTTGTGGTATTATCGGTAATGGCAGCACACTGCAGTTTAAAATCAGTAGGACTCTTAAAATTCTGGATGCATGCTTATAATTATCAAGTGTCTTTCTCCTCACTGGTGTTTGACTCTTTCAATTTGTCACAACAACCATTTGACAATGTAAAGATGCCAAATGACAATTCAAATGTTTGGAAGGACTCAGATCATTTACTTGTGTCAAAGTTTCAAGAGAAGAATATCAAAATACTCAATTGCAATTTCTTCGTTTTACTTAAGTAAATGCACAAAAGTATAGCAGCAGTAAAATTAACTTCAAGGTTTAAAAGTAAAAGTAGACCTACTGAGCTTTGCAGACTGGGCCTTGTCACTGTCATTACTGTGTATAAAATAATTTGCATCAAAATATATAAGCTTTTTTTTTACTTTGAAGAACCATCTGAAAAGTAACTAGATTCATGACATGATTCTTGCTGTTCTGGTTTTGTACCCTCATGCATGAATGCACTTCTTGTAAGTCGCTTTGGATAAAATGTAATGTAGTGATAAAATAAATACATTGGTAATAACTGTCAAATTAATGCGTAAAAATAAAAAGTAACATCAAAATCCAAGATGCTCCGAGATGCTTTCGCTTCACTTTTGTGGAGCCATCGTGTCGTCCATCTTTGTTTAGAGTCTATTTGGACAAAAACGACAGACCGAGAGACATTGAACTAAAACAAAATGACATTAAATGGTCCTTTTTTACTCACTTTTGCATAAAGTAAAAAGCATAAATTTGAAGGTTTAAATTCTGCACTTTTATTAAATGTGCAATTTCACACCTAAATTCATAAACTGTGAAATCCCAACAGAAAATGTTTCCTTTCATGGCCACAGATCTTTCTCTTTTGAGTTGACAGTGCAGAGCCTGAGAAGACTGCTCTCTCTTAATGACCATAAATAATATGATTAACTCCCAATAAAATCAATTGGTAACGGAGGAGCTGCTGGCAGGCCATAGACTAATCTGGCAAAGCGAGTGTTGTGTGTGTCTCTTTGTGTGTGTGTGTGTGTGTGTGTGTATGTGTGTGTGTGTCCCTGCTGTGGTGTGAGGAACATTTCTCAAATCATGACCCAGTTCTGTTATCAAACTGAATCAAATGTGATTTTCGTCTCTGCAGAGGGGGAGAGAGACAAAAATGTGTGCAACTGGCAGAACATCAAGCTGCTCGGTTTATAAAATTGCTGACTTTGGTGCTCAAGATGGCGTGGCTGGCGTTCTCTGCACTTACTGCACCACTGAGTGCTTTCTCTCTACAAAATCCTCCAGAATTATCATTCTATGGCTCCAACAGCAGCGATAAGCACCTCGTATGTGACCGGTCCCGAATCATTTCCACCTTTCTGTCATGCGACATCCATCAACATCATGTCAAGGCGGGAAAGGGCTTACTTTGGGGCAACCACTCCTAACCAACAGTATCTAAGAGACGGGTGGAGTGTGGCTCGTGCCCGCACCAGAGAGTGTAATGAAATGGCACATTAAATGTGTCACGCGTTACACAACCCTTCATCCTGTGCTGTTCACATGTTTGGAACTGAGCACCTCTGCTACACTCACAGCAGGAGGTGATGACTACAGGAGAGGAGAGGAAAATACGTCTCTACCTCCCTCTTAATGTCTATAGTCCATGTTATAATATAACAATATTATACACAAATCGTGTAATATGATAGTCTTCATTTGGGCAGGTATTCAAAGTGCTCAGCAAAACCGAGATTAGGGAGGGAGGATAATAAACGTCCCTCTGGAAAAATGTAGAGCCAGATTGGATTAATAAAATGCTATAGGGGAGGGTCCTTCCAGCTTAAGACTGGTTTCCAACAGTCCTCAGGGTCCTGGTTGTTTGGCTACTAAATGCTGCTATGTTCACTAGCTGCCTGAATACTGATGAGAGCAGTGAGACGGAATGAAACTGTAAAGTTGCAGGCCAACAAAAAACAAAACAATAAGCTGAAAGAGCAAAAAAGGAACTATAGAGAGGCTGATGTTTTTTATTGTTGGGTCACTACAAGCACATCAACAAAGCTGTGTCCCCATTCAGGGGCCGCCTCCTGAGGATGCAAGGGCCGAACCGAAATGAGAGGGTCAGGTCTTCAGAGGACTTCCGTTGTTTGTGTCACCAGCTAAGCACAGGTAAAGTCTACGCACATTAAAACAGTGAAACTGACAATGTTCCTATATTACAATAACGTGTGGAAAGAGTTAAATACGTTTCTTAAATGATCCAAGCCACTCACGCCAAACAAGAGGCAGCTATAGCATTTAATGGCCGCAACTGACTTTTGGATTTTAAGAAAAAAACAACCTGTCAGGTGTGTCTTGTCTTTCCGTCCTCCTCATCTTATGTTTACACTCTTCCAGACCCCTGGCCGACTGGATCATTAAAAATGAAGAAGGTACAGGGGGACGGCATGTTTAATGCATGATCTCATCTCCTGTCGCTGACGCTATCTCCGCTTCCTCAGGATGCTACTTGCACAAACACACTCTCGGTGACAGGAGTGAGCACTACACGGCACAGTCCAGGGGTAAAATGTGGTGTACTGGTTTCCGGGGCTGCGAGTCTGTCTCGTGGTGTTCTTAGAGGTTGAACAGTACAGAAAAAGTACAGCGGACCCCGGGGTTGACACATGAAAGCTGTCTTTGAAGAGTGCTACACTGGGAATGGTAGATTCGAGGGATCACATATGCTTCTTTGCTTCTATTGAACAAGTATTTTAGGGGAGGCCTTGGGTGGTTTACTGTTTATTCTTTACGCACAATAAGAAGAGATCAAGAGAGTTTTATGTATGAGGATGGATTAGCTTCAAACCATCTGAACAGTTTCCAGAATCAAAAAGCTAAATAAAACATTTATGAGGACAGGAGTCACATAGTGAAAGGACTTTCTTCATTCCGCTCGGTTTTCAATCATATTCACTCTTTCAAAATGGCAGAACTGATGAATCAATCTGAACTTTTATTTGGTTACTCCTATCAGACAACCATAATTTATTCAGTACTTTAATTTTAAGGTGTAATATGATATTATGTGACACTGGAAATTTGTGTGTCTTCTGCTGCCAAATAAGCTCTTTCGCCCACAGCATTGGCTGCATCCCACACTACAGTCAGCATTACTATAATTATTAGGAAAATCTGATTATATTAAGGACTCAAGCTTTTAAAGACTGGATCCAGCCCAAATAATCAATTTTTGGTTGCAAGGGATAATACACGAATTTACAAAATGACCCTTCATACAATCATGCGATTGGTGGAGTGGCTAATTTAACATCTTACAGTGACGTGTTTGAAGCGGTTTTCCACCGTCGTGTAGATGATTCTCATTTTTGGTTTGATTAATTCGGAGCAATCACGTCCACTAGTGCCACTCACTTCACTGCAAAAACCTAACAGAACAAAATGAATCCACAAATTACAGTGTCCAATCAAATGGCCCACAACCTTGAAGTGGGCCTTTCCAGTCGACCACTTTCAGTCCCATGGATAATGAAATTTGATTTGATTCTATATCGGTTGTAATGTTGTCTGCACCGTATCCTAATAAAGTGAGAGGGACACAGGAAGTTGTCCTGGGTGCCAGATGGGTGTTCCTCTTCAACCATCACTTCACATCACATTGATGTTGTTGTCGGCCTCTTGACGCCGAAGGAAAATCAAGGGTTCAAGAAGCACAGCTAAAGGACAAGGTCAGGGGGGTGTGGCTGTTTGCTGGAGTGCGTCCTCTACTTGCTTTTACTGATTAACGACATGGTTTGAAAAGGTTTTTTGCTTTAGTGCTGATTCTGGTTAATGACTCTGGAGGATCTCTGGTCCAGACTCAGCTGCACAGTCATGGAAGATTGAAGACACCTATTGTCAGGTACACTGGTTTCCTTACTCCCCCATCATAGCAAATATTACCATGATATGTACATTTAAAAATTTTACTGTACCCACCTCTTTCAAAAACCAGTGTAAAATAGGGATTTTGACTTAATAACTAACAAATGAATCTAATATTTAATACATTTAATTGTGTAAATAAAAGGTTTAAACTTCTGAATTTCCATTGGTTCAAATCAAGGCAGATTACAAACTAATTTATGTACAAAATAAAAACTTAATATGTCGGACCTTTAACTTCTGGTGAGCATTAAACATGAATAGTAATGATTCAAAGTAGCTGTGCTGATTTTTCACCAGCTTGCATAAATGTCAATTTGCGTTCTTGCTTCAGCTCAGTTATGTGGAAGCAGTAATTGCATTTAACTTGCTCTGAACCCTGTGTTGTGGAGACCGCAGGCTTTTTTTCAGGCGTGGTGGTTTCTTTATACGAAGAAATGAGGATAAAAACATAAGATTTTAAAGTCTCTGATTCTTTCTGCAGCTTTAACCAGACAGCTGAGCTTTTCCTTTCAAGCATGCATGATTGGAAAGTGTGTTTGCCACAGGTTTCCATTTTTGCTTTACTTCCCCAACCTAAGCAGCTCCTGACCTGAGACGCATTCCAAATCCAACATGCTCTCAAGTCTTGAAAGCACACTTCAAAATCCATTAAGTTGCTAAAATGAGGATTTGAAATCCACTGGACAGGTTTTCTTTCCACGCTCTCTCTCTCGTTTCAGTTCACATCATGGTGCATTTGTGGATCTGAAGATATTAATTTTTCAACTACTCTGCCTCATCTCTTTTTCCTTTTCTGTATTATATATATATATATTTTTTTATATATATACTCTTCACATTCCATCACTATTGTTTTCCTTGTAATAAGCCCAATTCACTCAAATCCTCATTTAGTCTTATTCCCACAAAGGGCCCTCTGCCCTGTCCTGTTATGAAGAGCATCGGCAAAACGAATCTATTGGATTCAAAGTGTGTCACAGACTTTGGGGTCTCTGCCTTCAAGGCTCAGGGATTAGGGATAATTGGGGCTGCTGTGTCTCGCTAAAGATGCTTTGCTTGCTATCAGCTGAAGCCACTTCTCTCTCTCTCTCTCGCCGCCCAGTCAACAACTCTTTTATGACAAAAGGGAAGATGAAGAAAGCAGTACATCCAGCAGAGTGAGGAATCAGCAAGACGGCAAAAGTTGGCAATAAGTCTTTCCTTGCCTGGTGTGTTTTTACAAAGAAAAGTGCAAGCTTTTTAGAAAGAGGACAGACAGAGAAAGAAAGGGACGTTAAGGAGACTGAGCACAAAGATGAAGACAGTGTGAAATAGAGGGGAAAATGTTGTCTTCCCTTAGTTGTGATATTGATGTGGGACACTGTGAAAAAACTGTCTGCGCTGCACAGGCAGGAACAACAA